CCCCTGCATCTGGGTGACTAATTCGAGGCTCAAGCCTCTAAGTAAGTGTCATGGTCACGCCTTTACTGCATAGACAACGTCTCTTATCAAAACTACTGTCAGCCCACTAGCTCCCATCGCCGCCGCGTCTATCCTGTTTCTATCTCTAATACCATGTCTATAACTTCCCATGCCCCAGTATCATGAGTGCCAACCCACAAATGTTGTGGTTCAACATTGAACCTAACCAAAGCAAGCAGTACTACAACATTTGTGGGTTGGCATGCAAGACTATGGCTTGGGAAGTTGTTTGACCTTGTATTCGCAATTCGGTCATATTGGTAGGAAGACTTAGATGAAGGCACCTAGTCCGTAGTCCATTGTATGCATCATCATTTCCAGAGTAGGACGGTGGACGTGTTACATTTCCACTTCTGCCCTGGCCTATTCAAATTTCCTATATCCTCCTATCAGGTCTTCCCTGCCACAATTTTTACCGTGTTTATTTTTAGTATAGTGTGGTGTGCTCCTTCGAGCGGCATTCATGAAAACCCTTCACACTCCAAACTGTCGTTATCACCCTGTTCACCATTGTGCTGGGAAGTTGACCAGAGTCTGTCATATTGTTACGTAGTCCTTCCCTGAGTCCTATCAAAGTCTCCCTCTTGCCCCGTCGAATCCGTCTGCCATCTCCCTGGTACATTTATTTCACTCGACCCCTGCCCCCCATCTGTGCGAAAACATGGTCAAACAACTTTTATGCAATGAAAGGAGACTGCGACCACACAAAAGGATGCACCATCTTGGTCTTCATACCTTCGATTAAACTAGGGTATTGGAAGTCATTGACTTGGTATTAGAGATAGAAACAGTATAGACGCAGCGGCGATGGAAGCAAGTGGGTTGACAGTAGTTTTGGTAAGCGACGTTGTCCATGTTGCAAAAGCGTGACCATGGGACTTACTCAGAGGCTTTCGTCTCGAATGAGTCACCCAGACGCAGGGTAGAGCGAATAATGCCTCGAGTGTCACAAATGGGGTAGCAGGGGTCGAGTGAAATATTTGAACCAGGTGGAGGGCAAACGGATCTTACCGGGCAAGATAGACTGTGGTAAGACCTATGGAAGAAGGATTTGCTATCAATATGGCAGACTCTGATCAACATTCCTAGCACAAGGATTAAGGGGGGTGAGAAGGCCAGTGTGGAGTGCGGAGGGTTCTCATAAGCCGCTAAAAAATGGACATCGTACCACATTTAATTAAGCAAGTAAAAAATCGTTTCTCTTGCCTTCCTTTCATGATCTCCGTCCTTCTGTTTATCACCATCCGTATGTTATGTTGTACTGTTTATTCAGGATATTCATTTACAAGAAACATCTGAATAAGTTTTTCCAGCTTTTCTTCTGAGAATTCTGAATCAATGAGTCGAAAGCTTCTTATGACCCTACTCCGGAATATTCCAATCTACATTATGTAATTATAGTTAGAAGGTAAGTTATGCGTTTTCTTTCGGAAAGGTCGTTTCTTGAGAGGTTCCTCGGAGCGAATGACTTCCACATTCAAGAAAGATAAGTGTCTGTTCTCTTTCACATCCATAGTAAATTTGAATTTTTCATCCATTTCGTTTATCAAGATCAGGAATCCATATGATTTTTATTTTCCATGCGACCAGATTATGAAGTATTCACCCAACTATCGCATACCTACTGTTGGCCGCTAGGGTGCCATTTTGAAACTTTCCTCCAACTTGTCTATGGAGACATTAGCTAACAGAGATGAGGGTGGTGAGCCCACAGGGAGACCAAATATTTGCTCATAGATGTGGCCGTTGAACGTGAAATATGTCGTTTTTATTGTTAGGTTGATTAATCGTGTTACAGACTCTCTACGCATTTGCTCTATCTCCAGGATGTCATTTCCTTTTTCCAAGATATCCAGTAGTACGAGGAGTGATTTTCTCTTGTGATCTTATTGTACATGGACTATACATCAAAGCTCACCAAAAGTTCATTTCCTTCCAAACTTGCGCCTTTGATTCTTTGACAAAATTCATATGAGTTCTTCAATGTATTCGATAATCTGTTATTCACTTTCTTTAATCTGTGAAGGATAAATGTCGCTAATTTATGTGTCGTTCCATGTTTGTTGTTGATTATCTGTCTCAATGGTTCTCCTTTGTATACCTTCAGGAAACCGTATGCTACTGGGACTCTTTTATCTTTTCGTATAAGTGATTTCATTGTCCATCAGTCGATTTCCCACTTCATATTCCTTTTCTTCAGCATTGCTTTCAGTGCAGCTTTTATTTTAACTGTTTGGTATTTTGTTAGCAGTCGATATGTTGTAGTGTCCTCAAAAATTATTCCCATTTTCTCTATATTCCTTCCTGTCCATTACCAATGTGGCACCTCCTTTTCAGCTTGTATAGCTCTTTGATCATTTCTTCTCGGTTCCCTATATATCTTGGTTATCTCGTTCTCATTCATGGATTATTGATTCGCCTAGATTGTTGGGATGATTTCTATTTCCAGCTCTTTTATTCCTTCTGTAGCCTCTCAGAGGTATTTATCACCACCAAACTGCCCTAGATTACCTTCCTTTCATTCAAGAGTGCAAAATTTGGTCCCTTTTTGAGTGTCTCCATGGTTTCCATATCAAGAGGGACAGAGACAGGTTCACTAATTTTTCGTCATCTCTTGTCTGAACTGTGAGATCCGTCATAGAGGCATCTTCATTTTTGCCGGGTGGTTGTAACTTGTGTTGCACATATATATCCTTTTTATTCAGCTTTTTCTGGTGTCTTTTTTTATTAAGTCCAATATCCTTTTTGAAATTTTGTCTGTTATCTGTAGTTTCAGTAGATCCTCCGAGGTGAGAATCTGACTAATCACATCTAAGTATCGATCTAATATCTCGAAACTTAAATAATGTTCTTCCCCTTCTCTCTCTCTCATGTGTCTCCCATATATTTTGCAAATAGGCTTGCTATAATATAATATTGACCTTACCGGAATTATATTATTAAAGTTTTTATAATAATGAGATCTAACTCTGATGGTGCCTGACTTATGGTAGACGAAAACCTGACACATTTTACTCTGAACTTATTGATGCCTTTTGGACTGAGCCAGCCCTAACTTCATAGTAATATCAATCCTCTAGACAGTATGATTTATCTGTCACCTGATTACGCGATCGACATATCAATATCTTAATCCAGTTCTTTCACATTAAATTAAAATTATAACAATATCAGTGTTCGAACTAAGGTAGTTATGTGCAATTTGAATTCGGTCACATATCATGTATTATGGAAAACTATTTTACCTATAAAAGTTTGTTTACCTCGTTGTAGCAACTTGGTCTTGTGGTCAGGGAGACTATGTAGAACGCACCTAGCCCGAAGTCGTCTGCCATAGTAGTTGTCATGATTCCCAGTATCTGACAGTGGACTTGATACATTCTCAAAGTCCACTGTCAGATGCTGGGAATCATGACAAACTAATTATTAAATTGTCTCATATTATCTTAACCTCGCTTAATTTATTTTAAATACTTTAGTAGAAAACGAGATAAAAGAACGTCGGGAATTTCTAAATGAGATGATTCGGCTTGGTCACGAAAAGGAATTCCGGCCAATCATTGAGACGGAAATCTCAAGAGTACGTTTTTTGCTATTTTTATCATTTTCTTTACTTGTCATTGATGCAATCAATTAGATTTTT